GAGTCTTAATAAGGTGTTATAATCAAACAACAAAGGTATTACTGACTGGATTATTGCTTGCCTCTTGAGATCATTAACAAAATCAATTAAACACATTAACGTGGAGTTGCTTGGTAATTTAGCGAAAGATTTGCGTTTTAAGGACAATTAAGACTAATGGCTAGGCTTAAAAACCTATTTGCAATATTGTTCGGGCGAGGCTGTCATTAAGGTAGAAGTTTGTTCGTCTGAATTTTATACGAATCTCGAAAAGTTTATATTGGTCTGAAAGCGTATGAGAGACGCAGGAAGTAGCGTATCCACTGGTTTTGCATAAACACACTTAAAAATGATCTCAATTGACGCACTTAGTATTTAAGTATCGAACATGTTTATAAGATGGTATTAGAACAAAAGTTTTTGTTCGCACAAACAAACTTGAAGCTACAGAACAACAAGATTAAGTTACGCTCTTAAGAATTTTTCACTTTCAAGCCGGATAAATTTAAGGATTCATCCTCTAAAAATTCATCGTTAAAAACGATCCTATATAACAGAAAAAAGATCGCTTGATTACGTACTCCCAGAACAAAATAAAACATTTACGGCAAATTCGGAACGAGGTGTCGACCGGCAAATTCTAAAAGCTCTAGCTTTTAAACCACCGCGCACTTTTTAAGAAATTTCCTTTGGCTATGATTATTTGCTGAAGTAACTTGGTGTCATCGTTATTTTGAACAGGCGATGTTTGCGCTAAAACACGCTCCAAGAAGATTTCACAATACAAAGGGCTTAAAAGCTCACACAAAGAAGGATAGCCATCGTTTATTTTAGTTTTCGATATTTTCGTTACAAACAGCACAAAACTAAGCAATGAATAAGGCGGAAGAACACCAGCCTTCATTCTCGACAAACAGTTTAAGTTCACCATCTGGAAAATTGTCTAAAGCTGAAGATTGTAAACGATTAAGGAAAAAACATATGTCAAAAACTTTTTCAAGGCCTTTTATTGGCTTCCGCTTCTTTCTAAATTCAAATTCTACAATTCACTCCATGGTTTACTTTAGTTGTTTACAAGGTTGCACAATCGAAAGGCAAAACTCGTTTTCGAAAAACCATCTATATGTAAGAGAAAACCTCAGTGCCCTCAAATTTGCACGAGATGTTGAAATCCATACATTGGCTTTGAGGAGAAAATAAATACTTAACTGATAATAAAAATTCTAGCTTTGTACACTACAATTGAATAGTTTATATTTTTACATGTATTTGTGGAAACAAATTTTCGCAATATTCTGCATATAATTGACATAAAATAAAACATTTAAAATGAGCCTGTTTCTGTACTGCTTTATAGAGTTGGACTTTTCCGAACGAAAATAATTTATCTGTTAGTTCGTTCAAATGGAAGGAAGCACTTTAAAAGATTTTCCTGTATTTCTTCTTGCTCTTCGCTTGAAAGCAAACAATACCCAGTTACCGTCTCCTTTCAATTTTGCCTTGTAATGTTCCTGAGTCCTCTTCGTTTAACTTGAAAACGGTCAGCGCATTTTTCGCTAGGAGCAACATATAAGATAAGCACAGCGCTTTTAGTTCAAAGATTCGTTCGAATGGATACAGCAAAAAAGTAACAACAAAACCCCGTTGAAATGATAATAATTTGACGATAAATTCTTCTGTTTTACGCCTTATTTGTTGCTGCCATGCTTTTCCTCCGTTCTTCTGGAGAATACTTGACGAGCATTTCAATCAAGTCAAAGTCATCTGTTAAATCGACGGGAAACGCACCGTCAGCGTTGCTTATATCAGGATTCGCGCCGCTGCGAAGTAAAAACTTTGTAACAGCAACGTTACCGGCCTGTACGCTGTGATGTAGCGAGGTACACCCATCCTCATCTTGCATGTTCACGTCTGCACCCAGTGTTACAAGCATTCGGACGCATTTTAAGTTCCCGTCCTTAACAAGCTGATGGAAAGCAGGGTTACTTTGACCCTCTTCTGCGTTCACTAGCATCTTTGTGTCGACGCTGGGCCGTTTCAAAAACTGGCACATTTCCGACGGATCGCCATCTTTAACCATGTCGTGAAACACCAAGTCGTGTGGGAACTTTACTCTTCTGTCCATGACGTCCTTGATACCCGCTTGACTTGGCATGGAAAAGTACAAATCGATCCTTTTCCGTTCTATTTCCTAATCGACAAGTCTTCTCTGTGCGCAATTCCAAGCTCTATGTCCTTAATGCCGAGGTGAGAAAAGGTTGTTTATAATATCCTACAAGTTTGCATTTGAACGGAAGACAGAGAGACTCTTTTATTGTATTTTTTCCAAACAGTCTACTTTATCTTACAGCTCATTGGCTACTCTGGGGGTCCTATTTACATTGGTTCATTACACGCGACTGACACATGTCCTCCCTACGTCATAAAGAGCGCGAACTATGACGTCATACTGTTACAAGTGTTAATGAAAATTGCAAATTTTTATAAGAGAAATATAGTAATATCAACTAAATATAGCAAATTCTGGTTATGGGGAAAGAAAAACTCTTGACTTAACACTTCAGAGGCTATTTCGGAGCAGGTTAAGTACACCGCAGAGAAAATTAATTTAGCACACGATGTCCTCACGTGTCCTGTGTAACTCCTGGTGTATCTTGGGCCTGACATTTCACTTTTTCTTTTTTAATATCCATGAAATTAAACAGGAGCTGCAAAGCTTGAGAGAATCCAATATTTTGCAACGTGACTTAATTTATAAGTACGTAAATACGATTTTCCAAAGTGGCTGAAGGATTATACAGATTGAAAAAACAATAATGACTTTGCGACCGAAATCAAAGCGAAGATAAAAAGCTTAACCTTGTCAAGTTAACGGGTCGTGCATGTGTGTACATTCTAGACAACTTTGAAATAACTTCTTTGAAAGTTTCAAAGTTAATATACATTACTGGGCTATGTGTGGCCAGTAAACGGAAATAAAAGAATGCAATTCCTTCTGTTTGTCTAAAGAAGATGTATAATGAATTTTTCTCTACCTTTCATGACGGTCTTTTATCAAGAATGAAAACATTTTTCTAAAGGAAAAAAATTTGGCGGGAAATTAAGAAAGAAATAACAATATGCCAACAGTACCACAGGAACGTACTGCTCAGTAGCTTTCTTTTTAATGTTCACACCACTGAATTTCATCCACAGACTCAAAAGTTGGAACCACCTTGTACAACATAATAAACAGTACCACAGGAAAGTACTGCTCCGTAGCTTTCACTTGAATGCATACCCCAGGATTTCATCGACAGACCCAAAAGTTAAACCATTTTACAGCATATTACACAGTACCACAGCAAGGTACTGTTCAGTAGCTTTCATTTCAATTGTCACACGCAAACGTACAGAAGTATATCATAATTATTAAACAGTCTCAAAGTATAACATATACCCAAGTCAGACGCCATCATTTCAACGGTCACAGCTAACGATTTTATTAAGACGAAAGAGCGAAGCTGCATACCATGCACATCTTAGATAATATTTAGGGAACTTGAAAGAACTCTAACAGATAAATCGGTTGCAATACGTGTGTCAGAACACGCTTATACGTTAAGTTATTTCAGCATTTGTATAAACATGAATCTTGAACACGCGCCTAAGAAATTTCTAGAATGTGCTGGAACAAAGGAAAGGACACATACGTATACGTATACGTATATGACGGACCAGACAAAGAGTACAGTATTTAAAGACAGGAAGTAACTTGGGTTAGACAGCTGTAAGGAAGCAATTTGATTGGTTTAGAGAACAGTGTGGACAGAAAGAAAGCAAGGGTGGGGGAGGGGGGGGCAGTCTCCAAAAAAAACGTTTCGGCCTTCGGGTATCAGTTTGGTCTAAAAATAAGCGGGTGGCGGCCCCCCCGGGCCCCTCCCCTATAGCCGCCACTGAATTACTTAAGCAGGCTGCAAAGCACAAAAAGTTCTCACCCTTTAAGCCCTAAGAGTGAACCGCACCAAATTTCTCCTCGTAATATCAATGCTTTGTAAAACAGAGTGGTCATGAGAATCACGGACATGATCACACAAGATGAATTTGCTTGATATTTTATCACCTTCTCCCCACTACTTCTGTAGGAAATGAATAGGGGCAACAAATGAGAATTCGACTTTTGATCTTCGGGTTTAAAGGGTTAAAAAACACGATGACATAGCTCGAGATTGTCAGCATTTTAACACTACAGAATTGTATACAAAAGACAAAAAGGTTTAATTCTAAATAGGTGTATATAATTGAATAAGACTGAGATTTAAGAGAGGACAACTTACAGTATGATGAGGACAAAAATAAAGACTGAGATCAACAGGCAATGTAAAGAAGAACTGGTTGGGTTTGAGTATCGATAATGGGATCAAAAAAATACCGCGAATTACGGCCCAACTTTGTTCACCAGTGAACAGTCGCAGCTGATGCAAGTCTTAACAACCACGGCTTGATCCATTGTAATATCGTCATAATAAAAATGACCATTATAGTTGGCCGAATGCAATGTATTCGAGTGGACTGAATAGTGCTTTTCGAATAGAAAACTGTTCTTTATCAAAAAATAGAGTAAATTGCGGAGACACACATGATAAATGCTTAGGCCTGTGTATTGACCGGGACGCTTATTATCAGAACAGTGGTCTTCGATGGTAGCCTGATAACAACTTGGACCAATCCGAACAGGACTCGGTGACTGGGCGAAAGTATGGACCTTGCAGTACGTCTTACATGAAACCAAACATTGACATGAAGGAGTTCGCATAAGCCATAGGTTTCACATCCGGATGAGGCTGTGTAGCAGATAAAATAAGTTAAAATTCTTTTTTTGTGAAGCTTCGCCAGAGGCGAGTTAGTAGAGAGCCTAAGTAGCACACAAAATTGTTCCCGGCCCGTGTAAATAAGGTAAAGTGCTGGTCTACCAAGCGGAGAGCGATTCATGACACAATTAAAAGCGCTCTGTCACGATAGTTTTAGTAATTAATATGCAACTTCCCCTGAAGGAAACCTCAAAATATTAGTCTGGTAAAATAGAAAATGCCGAAGAGGAGACGCAAAGGCCAACGCAGTTTCTTAAACTATTTTGATTTAAATGAAGAAGTAATCCCACAATTAAAAAAAGGAAAATGTACTTACCACAGCATCGTAGGTCGTGAAGTTGGGTTTGGCATCTGGTCCCATGGTAATAAATGCTCCTTTGTTTCCCATTTGATCGCTACGAAAAATAAACACCACATTCGCTGATGCGTCTCAAAACCTTAGTTCCTAGGCTCTAACAATGATAAGCGTCTAATTTTCTCCTTATAACATTCATGGGTAATTACACAGTCAGGTGATGAGAATAAAGAAAATGATCACTGAGGCACAAGGGAATATTAACTGCCCTACAAGTTGGCATAGCACCTGACATAGCTCAGTATTTCACGGCGCGAAAAACGTCTGAAACTGAACAGTTTTGCCTTTGAAAGAAAGGAAATTAACGGCTACGTTCACATGGAGCTTCTCTTTACATTTTGCAGCGTTCCCCACGATCTCAAATCCTGAAATAGGCTTACTAAACCTATGTCATGGCGAATGCACAAATGAGTTTCTAACATTTTTGAACACATTTAAACCTAGAGTCCTATTTTCCGCGTAAATGTAAGCTCAGCTCCTTTAAATATGTGACATATATGTAAAGAAGGTATCGGCTGTAACTTTGCGAAGCTCGTTTCCGGGGCCCAAGAGGAAGGCGCACGTCACAAAACATCGGACTCATCGATAAAATATCGACTGCAACTTCCTCATTCCGTGGACTTTTCGAATTCCGGACTTATTGTCTTATTCATTTTTATAAGCTCTGGCTCACCCTTTGATAACAAGCTAATTTTTGGCAGAAACATGCTTCAACTTGAGGCAAAAACTGACCAGTAATTCGGCGCCGAAAAGACAGTGATACACTTCCCATCATGCATCACTTCATATCCCTCGGGTTTGACTTCATGACTCCTGATAATATAATCTGAAAATAATGATAATAATTCAAAATACAATTACAATTACAGTGGTGGCATTGCTTTTGCTTGGGCATCTAAGGTTACACTTCCTCAAGCATTTCAAGGAAAATGTAGGTCTAACTTTGAGCGTGTGAGTGAATTCTTGAGTATGACCATTCCAAATAAGAATTATTGCATCACTAGCCGGCCAGCAGGCTTACTTGGGCGAGTTCGGAGAAAATTTTGACGCGCGAGGAAAAGTGAAAAGTCACTTTTCCTCCCATCATTCTTTGCGCCAGCAACTCTCGACTCGCGCCGTTAAATTTTCCCACGAACTCACTCAAGTGAGCTTGCTCATTATTATATCGCTAAAACAAAGTTCAAAGAAAGCAGGTTGTTTAAAAAGAACTAGAACTCTCCTTTTACTCGCATCCCCGTCACAAATAAAGTCTCTAAAGTCACCCGTAACCTGTACTGAATTTGCAACGATAACTGTGACCCAAATAAGATTTATCGAAGGCGTTTGTTGCCAATACTGCGCTGTATGTAGCCTGCACATGATAAAAACACAACTACAGAAAAGGAACAGATAAAACAAAAACTCACCGAGGTTGTTATTTTTGCAGAATTCTTCAGTAACATCAGGGCCAAATTGTACACCGACGCCACGCTTGCTTGGCGAACGACCGGGCTACAAGCAAAACAGATAAAGCTGTTTTCAAGGTAGCTGGGGTTTTCCGACACAATGCGCACTTTCATTGGCTTATTCAAGGTCACATGACATCTAAGTGACAATTTTTTCCCGCCAATAATCAGATGCCTGACGCCAGAGGTTCAAAGTGCAATGTTACCTACAAAAGCGGAAATGCTGACCATCGTTGCACGTGAACAACGCGTGAAGCAAAAGAGAACCCACCAAAAAAGCATGGATTAAGTCGCATTTACACGAGCAAGTTTTCTTGAAGGAAGAAAAGCTTGTCAAGGAAGGGGCCTCTACTATAATACGCCACTTCCAAGTTTACAAAACCCTCAGTTTTAAGGGGGAGATGGGTTTCATTTTTACTAAGAACTAAAAATGACTTTTACATAAAAGACTTTGCACTTTCCCTCGTGAGGAGACTTGGGACAACTCGGAAACGGCCATATACAC